AGTTTAAAGATGTCCTGGAAGTTCCTAAGCCTCTCCTCATTTTTTTTGAATTCTTGTTTCTTCATTCTTTTCTGTTTGGTCATTTTTTTCTTCCTTCTGGTCCACTCCCTTGATTTGAGTCCCGGTTTCCTTTCCATCACTATTGCTTTCCTGTGCATTTTCCTCCATTTCAATTAGTTTAGCCTTCATATGTTCCTCTAATTTGTGACTAAAATCAACCAGTTCTGTGAGCATCCTGATCACCAGTGTTTTGAACTGTGCATCTGATAGGTTGGCAATTTCTTGGTCACTTAGATTTATTGGCTCTGGGGCTCTGAGTTCTTCTTGAGCCATGTTTTGATCTGTTTGCACCTGTTACATTTGAGGAGTGGAGCCTTAGGTGTTCACCAGGGCAGGGCAACTCAGTTGCTGGTTTGTGAGGCTGTATATGTGGGTGGTGTCAGAGAGGGAGCAATAGCAGTCCCCTCTGCTGCTTCCTGCCGCTGGGGCCTGCGCGGTCTGTCTCACTGCTCACTCCTTCACTGGTTTATCTGGGTGCAAATGTGTGACCTCAGTCAGCCTTCCACCTTGAACCTTCACTGGGTCTGCCCATTGCTACCCCACACCTGGGATCCACCCTTGGCGGCCTGCGCACCTGGGTCAGGGGATCATTTTTGCCCTAACTACTCCACTGCTGGCTCCGCCCCTCTTACCAGTATGGCTAAATGGTTCGTTGTTGTTGGACTTTCGTATAGTTCGATTTTCTGTGGTTTGGCTGTGTTTTTTGCTGCTAAAAGTTTGTTGTTTTTAAACTTGGTTGTGTGAGAAGGCACAGTGTTTCCACCTACACCTGCATCTTGGCGGAAGTCCTTAATCTTTTGCATTTTAATTATGGTGTGTCTTGTTATAGATCTCTTTGGATACAACTTGTTTGGGACTCTGTGCTTCCTGGATTTGTATGTGTATTTCCTTGGCCAAATTGGGGAAGTTTTTTTTTTTTTCCATTATGTTTTCAAATAAGTTTTGAATTTCTTGCTCTTTCTCTTCTTCTTCTGGTATCCCTATGATTCAGATATTGTACCTTTGGAGATATCCCAGAGTCTTCTTAAACTCTCCTTATTTTTTTCAATTCTTGTTTCTTCATTTCCTTCTGGTTCAATGTTTATTTCTACTTTCTGTTCCAAAACCTTGATTTAAATCCTGGCTTCCTTCCCTTCACTGTTGGTTTCCCATGGATTTTATTTCCCTTAGTAAGAGACTTCATTTCTTCCCTATGCTTTTGCTATATTTAATGATATCTTTGAGCATTCTGACCACCAGTGCTTTAAACTTCACATCTGACAGGCTGGCTATCTCTGCATCACTTAGTTCTTTTTCTGGAGTTTCGTTCTGTTTCTTAGTTTGGCCCATATTTCTTTGTCTCCTGATTCTGCTAGCTTTCCTCTGTCTCTGTACCAAGTAGAGCTGCTCTGACTCTGTTTTAGCGCACCTGTTAAATTGTGTGGGGGCGGAGCCTTGGGTATTCACCCAGGCAGGGCAACAGTGGCTCCATGTGTGGAGGAGGGGTTTTAAGTAGGGATAATGCCACTTCTGACTGCCTTTTCTGGGCTTGCCTGGTCTTTCCCTCCTTTCTAGTCGCTCACCCACTTTCCATATGCAACTGTAGCCCCTCTAGTTGCTGTCCTGGACATTGTTCCCAGGGTGAGTGGGTCTGCCTGAGTTCAGGGCTCTGCTAAGAAACCAGCCATTTCTTCTGCTGCCTCAAACCCCCACTGGGTTTACAGCCAGAAGTTATGATGCTCTCTTTTTCCCTGTGCTGCATGGTCTGGCCTGGTGCTAGGCTCCCTCACTCACAAGGTGTCTCCCTGATTTTTATCCACCACACATGAATAAGCAGCTGCCCATTCCACTGGCCATCTTCCCCTCTCCAGCCCTGGTTCACTGCCACCACACTGAGTCCTCTCCACCCCAACTCCCAGACTCAGTCCCTACCGGTCTGGATGAATATAACTTCTTTAAATCCTTGGTTGTCAGACTTCTGTACGATTCTGTGTTTTTCTGAATGATTTTGTAGAATTTCTGGGTGTTTTTCATTTTTAAGTTAGTTGTATTCCTTCTTATGGTTAAGCAATGAGGTGAGGCATATCTACCCATGCCTCCATCTTGGCTAGAAGTCTGTATGTTTACATGTGATTGTAACATTTGGGCAAGACACAGCAACTTGAAATTTTTTTATAGCAAATTCTCTTAAAATAGTCTATTTAAAGAATGCAATGTCCTCAACTTAAAAAATCTGTTATGTGTAATAGAACAGAAATACAGGAGCAGGAAAAGAATATTTACTTAAAAAATTCATTCAAAGAAACTCAGCAGACTTTGTAACTTGTAAAAACTGTATATCAATCAAAATGTAACTAAGCCTAAACTCTAACCCAAAACTTTAAAAAATGTTTCTAAGATTATTACTTGTAGGGAGAAAAAATATATAATACTATCTATTCCTCAAATATATTGATATTAAAAACAGAAAAAAAAGACATGGTCCGTGGAAGTCTGTTTCTATCACACCCTGGCACATTATGACACTGAAGCAGGCTGGAAGTTGAGACCATTTTTTGCTCTTCTACGTGTCGATAAAGTCATATCAATCAACAAAACAGAACGTTCTGAAGAAAAAAATACATCAAACAGAAGCAGAAAGGCGATACTGGTTCACTGCAGAGAATATACAACAAAATTAATGTATTTTTTACTTGTAAACACTACTTAAAATAGAACTTACAGCAAAAGCACAAATATACTACTAAGTCAGTCTACTTTATTTTCTTTTTTCAAATTTCTTTGCACTTATAATCTATATCACACTTTAGCATGAGCTATCAATATGTAACACTGTTACACAGAACATGTTTTTTTAAGACAAAGAAACATGTTTTTCAAGACAAAGAGTGACTTTTATACAATATATTAACCAGAAAAGTGTTAAGTAGAAAGAGAACTCCAAATGGCACTTTGAATGACTGAAAGCATCTCTAAAAAACACTCAGCGCTATATAGTTACTGCTGCAGTATCTACTACAGGCAGAAATGGTGCTATTAGACTCATTCCTCTATAAATATAACTTTATACTCTTCACGATTCAGTTAGATGAAGATTTTAGATAATATATAATGTTATATTTTACACCAGTTTCTGCTTAATTTTAGAGCTGTACCTAAAAGTTGATGGAGGACGTATATTTATTAAAATTGACTCATTTATAATTGTTAAATAATAAGTTAGTTAACCCCACCTCATGTGGTATAGAGTAAAACCTGACTGCATGTAATTCTCCACACACTCCATGTTAAGTTGTTACCAAACTGAAGGGGTATGCCATGTGGGGTGCTCTATTAAAGAACAAGACAAAGTTGTCAGGTTACCACAAGGTAGTTTCATTTACCTGCAGCAAGCAAAAGAGACAGGGGATTCATATCCAAAGCTCTGTCTTCGGAAGGGAGGCTTAGCCATTGCTTATACATACTATCTGGTCAATTACAGATTGACTTGGTGCCTCTTTATCCTCTTTATAGGTGGTCTGCAAAACACTGTTACATTATAACACTTAGCAAGAATAGCATTTAGTAACAATGGCCGGGATCTTGAGACCCTGTCCTGCCTAACAACTTCATACCTCTTCTGCCCCTGCTCAGGCTACACTCTCATTTTGAAAGGCCCTTTACCACCAACCCTACCAGCTGACTCTTGTGCATCTTTAACAACTTGGCTCAGGGTCATTTGCTTAAAATCTTCCTTCTTCCTAGCCTGGATTGGGAGTACTTCCTCTGTTCACCTGTAACAATCTGATCACATCTTTTTCATTGCACTAATCATATAGATTATACCATACTCAACATATAGTCGAATTTATAATACTTGTAATAATTGCCTATAAAAGCCCCAAAATATAGGTACCTTCTCTTCACTTCTATTGCTCCCATGTGAGCATAGCACACAGTAAATAGAGGTACTAATATTATTTTTGGAATGAATGAACGGATTTATTATGAACACTAGAGACTATTTTTCTATTACCCAAATCGACATTTACTTAAATTATTTGAACTGAAATAATACTGCATTCTGAATATATTATTTTAACCACAATCACATGTAAATGTTTTAATAAAGACATTTCCTGTACTTTTTTTTTTTTTTGGCAGAGCCAGCTGAGACTTTACTTTGAAAAAAAAAAAAAAACCCTCAAACATTTGATTCAGCTTTTAGTTGGGGGCATGGGTTAAAGGTGCCCCCAAGGGCGCCTTTTTATTCTCTCCCAGGTTATAAACTTTCCTACCCCAACGGTGAGCTGAGGACTGGGGCTGAGCTTCAGGGGGGCCCTCTGCTCCCCTGCACAGCTCCTCTCCCACGGTCTCGGAGGACAGGAGGGACCACAGTGGTTGTTCACCTGGGCAGGACTTCAGATGACTCAGACACCAGCTTCCCACCATGGGTCTCAATCTTCATAACTACTATCTTGGAGGAGTTGCTACTAGTGCACCTGAAGGAGCCAGGGCCCCTACCACAGTCCAAGCTGGCCTGGAAGGCCAGGCCATAGATGAGGTTCTGGTAAGTGGGGCTCAGCCCACCAGAGTAACTGCTGGTGGTCATGGTATGGATACCCATATTTCTGCATCCCAGACTCCAAACAGTTCTCCTCACCGTCCAGCAGCTTGTGATAGGTGGTGATCTCCATGCCCAGGGCTAGCTTGATGTTCTTGAGCTCCTGGTAGCCTTGCAGCTGCCAGGCTATGTCCTGCTTGGCAGTTCTCAGAGCAGCCTCCAGCTCAGCCACCTTGGCCTGAGCAACCTTAATGGACAGCTCCCCATGCTGCTTGGCATCAGCAATGGTGGCTTCCAGGTAAGCCCTCTGGCCTGTGAGAACCTTGATGTTCTGGTTAATTTCAGAAATCTCCATCTTCATGCAACAAAGGTTATCCCCATGCTTCCCAGCCAATGTCTGCAGCTCTTCGTACTTGATTCAGCACATGCTCTCAGCCTCAGCCCAGCTGTTGGTGGCAATCTCCTCATACTGGGCATTGACCTTGGTGATGATGCAGTCCAGGTCCAGAGAGTGGCTGCTGTCCATGAACAGCACCATGGACACGTCAGAGATCTGGGACTTCAGCTCACAAATCTCTTCTTCATACAGCTGCCTGTAGAAATTGATGTCATCAGTCAGCCCTTCCAGACGGGACTCCAGCTCTACTTTGTTCACGTAAACTTCATCCACATCCTTCCTGATAAGGACAAATTCATTCTCCATTTCTGTGTGCTTGTCGATCTTGTCCTCATACTTACTTTTCAAGTCCTCCACTTGAAAAGTGGAGCCTCCAGCTCCTGCCTGCTGCCAAACTCCACTTCCAATCTCAGTTTCTTCTGGGCCAGCATTTCCAACTGCCGCCAACAGTTGTTGATGTAGCTCTCAAACACGTTGTCCATGTTACTGAAACTCCTGCTGCTGCTGCAGGAGAGTCCATGTGGTCTCTAGAATCTTATTCTGCTGCTCCAGGCTCTACACCTTACCAATGAAGGACAAACTTGTCGAGGCTCCTGATTTGCTCCTTCTCCTGGTTTGCACAGTCTGGATGTTGGGGCCCACCCTCAGCTTCAAAGGGCTCAGGAGGCTCTGGTTCACTTGGACAGCTTTCATAGACCCCATATTCCCAGGAAGATTTATGTTGGAGTCCAGGCCAACCCGGTAGCTACTTAGCCTGGAAAAAGGCTAAGGACCTGCTGCTGGGCCCACTCAAGTACAAGTGGCTGCTGAAGGCCTGGGGGCCAGAGGTGGACACCTTGTAGGTCTTATGGGTGACACTTGTGGATATGGTGGAGGCTGGAGTGGAGGCAAGGATGCCAAATCAGACAGAAATACAAGAAGAAGCCAAAAAAGCTCCCCATTTTTGAATCACTTTATTTCAAAGGTAAATATGTTAAAAAAAATTTTAAGTCAGAGAAAATCAAACTATACTTATTATTTCCTTTTTATTTATAGAAGAGAAGTGTAGGGACTTTAAGTTTTGAATCAAATAGTCCAAAAAATTATTGTGCTAATAATTAAAGGAGATTCTGCTGCTTTGCCAGAGTGGTTTATAGTTTCAATAGTGCCTACGCAGTCAAGGAATACATAACTTCCAACAGTTTAACAGTATGACTTTAAAAAAATGTCTTTATTATCAATAGCATTTATTAGACATAACTGTTACCAAAGGCTGCTTTTTAAATACTGATGTCACTTCCAGGATCTTTAAACAATACTTCCATTGTACTGATTACTTTATACAATGTTTCTACTGCGGGTCTATTTTATTAAGGCACTTGATGCATCACTACCATAATCACTTCTTTGTTTGAACTGGACCACTTAATTTATTATAAGAGTTGTCCAAAAGTCTAGTATTAAGTAGTAAAAAAAACCCGAAAAAACAAAAAACACAACAAACTTGGATTTTATCTAAGTATGTGAACTACATCTATTACTTATTATTTTTATTTGAAGATGCATAGAAGTCACAGAGTTGTACTTAAGATAACCATAATTATTTGAATAGAAATATAAAGATTACCAAAAAATAAATTCACCAATAATTTGTTTCCAAGTATGAAAAGATATTTCCCACTAGATATCTGAAATAAAACATAAAACACAAAGTTGAATAGTATTATTAGTTAGTTGAGGGAGAGCTCTGCTGGTCAGGTACAGTGCCTCTGAGTAGAGCACATTGCTAATCTTACGTAGGGTTTGGAAGTATGCCATTCAAGGGTTGGTGGACGTTCAGAGGCTTAGAAACATGGTTACTAGAAGGGCTGTCATTGACTAGCTGGCTTTCAAAAATTCTGTTCACCAAGCAAGTTACTGCTAATTGATTACACTGACTTAAAACCCATCCTAAAGAAATATCATATATTAAGTAGGTTTAATCCTGGTTCTGATAGCTGTTGCCATGGCTATATAGAATTAGTCTTCTAGCCCTGGCTGGCGTGGCTCAGTGGACTGAGCATCAACAGCCTGCACACTGAAGAACAAGTCTTCTAGGAGTTTGGGAACTTCCTTTTATTTTTACAAGGCGAGCACAGAAACCAACGTACACGTATGTACATACATACTAGTCATGATTTTATAATCACATTTCAAGAAATTTCAATAAAAAGAGAAATGTCAGTGTGAAGGGGAAACACCATTTTTTAGTATTAATTAATCCGTCATCACATGGTATATTGCAGGTTGTGGAAATTCAAAGATGAACATGAAAAGCAACAACCAAGTGCTTTTAAAGTAGTGCTATTCACAGCAGGTCTGGTCCACATACTTTTTTTTACAGGTCTGCAATAAAGTATAAAAATGGATTATTTTATCACTTGTTGGCCTTTTGGCTAAGATTAAGTGTAAAAAATTTAAAAACTCTTTGAGCAAAGTTATATTTGACAGTAATTTTATATCTGTCAAATCTCATAAAAAGCTGATGTTTGTATTTTGTGTCCTTTTTAATTTCATTTTTCTAGTAATTCATTTTTGTTTTCTTTTACCAAAATATTGGTTCACAAACTAGTCTTTCACCACAGATAATTTTAGAAGCACTACTTTATAGGACTCAAGAAATGCAGATATCCACAACAGCTCAGCCTGTGCTATAGTCTGCTACTAAGATACATGCAAAAAGAATGTAAAGCACACACCAAACAAGTTAACACCTGCATCAAAATCTGAAGATTGGTATTGATGACACAAAAGAAAATCCCTCGGATGATGGTATAGCACACTTGAGAAAGGCTGCATCATCTATCCCCTCTAAATGGACTAGGAGACTATACTATACGAAAAAACAAATGACTCAGATTAGAATTGCAAAAGAGTCAGACCCTGAATGTGAATCAATTTAGGAATATCTTCATCTATCTCTTATATTTTCTTCTTTAAAAAACTGTATGCACAAGATTAATCTACTTTTTAAACTATAATTTATCTAAAATAATTTCCCTCCAAAAGAGGAATAAGACATGATGCAATTCCTACTTAAGGAGCTTGAATCATTTGACTGGGACAAAAACAGATGATAACAATAATGTGATAAAGGAAATAGTAGAAAGATATATTGGATATTATGGGACAACCTAAACTCACATGGGTGATCAAGAAGGCTTCCCATTGAACATGATAGGTCATGTATACTCAAAGTTCCCATTTAACTCCAACTATAACCAAATTTCATACACCCTACTTCCTAAATTTCTCTCATATTGTTGACCCTGCTTCCTTTCCAGCCACAACACTTTAGTCACTGTCCTCATCTTACAACTATTATTACAGCCTTTCACCAATAGTACACCCTTCTTACTGCTGCCAGTTATTCCCTAATTCAAATCTGACCACATCACCTCAATGCTTAAAACTTTCATGAATAATGTAATGGTAAGTGGAAAAAAATGAATACAAAACTGTTAAGGTCTCTATTTTGTAAATATGTATGAGATCTGTCCAGAAAAAGTCCAGCCATTGTTAATATAACAAGAATAGTTTGCATGACATGAATGTAACCTAGCAGCCAAGGAAGGTGATCTGGAATGCACATGAGTAAACAATGACAACTTCACTGTACTAGTCAGTGGGGGCAGTAGAGGCAGTTGAGTGAACATGTGCACTGATGGGCATCACATTCAAAATGCCTGAGCAAGAAGAGCAACAAATTGCATCAAATGTTGCATTAAGCTTGAACACTCCTCCATAGAAACTACTCAGATGATTCAAAAGGCCATAGCTATGGGCAACTGGTGATTGGCAGCTTCATCTTGACAATGCGCCTGCTCATGCATCACGTCTCGTACAGAGTGTTTTGGCAAAACATCAAATCACCCAGGTAACTCAGCCACGCTACAAACCAGATTTGAAGCCCTGCGGCTTCTGGCTTTTCCTGACATTAAAATCACCTTTGAGAGAGAAGAGATTTCAGACCATTGAGGAGATTCAGGAAAACACAACGGGGAGGCTGATGGTGATTCAGAGGGAGAACTGTGTGAGGTCTCAAGGTGCCTACATTTAAGGGGACAGAGGTGTCATTGTCCTGTGTACAATGTTTCTTATATCTTGTATCTTCTTCAATAAATGTCTCTATTTTTTATATTTATTTATTTTTTTAAACTTTTTTTATTGATTATGCCATTACATTTGTTCTATTCCCCTCTCCTTTCCCCTCCAACCTGCACACCCCTCCCCCACCATTTTTCCTTTAGTTCATGAACACGTGTCTTGAGTTCTTTAGATTTTGTATTTCTCCTACTATTCTTACCCTCCCCCTATCTATTTTCTATCTACTGTCTGTGCTACTTATTTTATGTACCTTCTCCCCCCTTCTCCTTCTCCCACTCCCCTGTTGCTAATCCTCCACGTGATCTTCATTTCTATGGTTCACTCCTGATCTAGCTGTCCGCTTAATTTGCTTTTGTTTTAGGTGTGGTTGTTAATAACTGGGAGTTTGCTGTCCTTTCACTGTTCATCTTTTTTTATCTTCTTTTTCTTAGATAAGTCCCTTTAACATTTCATATAATAAGGGCTTGGTGATGATGAACTCCTTGAATTTGGTCTTATCTGAGAAGCACTTTATCTGCCCTTCCATTCTAAATCAAAGCTTTGCCGGGTAGAGCAATCTTGGTTGTAGGTCTTTGATTTCCATGACTTGAAATACCTCTTCCCAGCCCCTTCTTGCCTGTAAGGTCTCTTTTGAGAAATCTGCTGACAGACTGATGGGAACTCCTTTGTAGGTGACTGTCCCCTTATCTCTTGCTGCTTCTAGGATTCTCTCCTTCATTTTAATCTTGGCTAATGTAATGATGATGTGCCTTGGTGTGTTCCTTCTTGGGTCCAACTTCTTTGGGACTCTCTGAGCTTCCTGGATTTCCTGGAAGTCTATTGCCTTTGCCAGAATGGGGAAATTCTCCTTTATTATTTGTTCAAATAAGTTTTCCATTGGTGGCTGTTCCTCTTCCCCTTCTGGTACCCCTATAATTCGAATGTTGGAACGTTTAAAGATGTCCTGGAGGTTCCTAAGCCTCTCCTCATTTTTTTGAATTCTTGTTTCTTCATTCTTTTCTGTTTGGTCATTTTTTCCTTCCTTCTGGTCCACTCCCTTGATTTGAGTCCCAGTCTCCTTTCCATTACTGTTGGTTTCCTGTGCATTACCATTCATTTCAATTAGTTTAGCCTTCATATATTCCTCTAATTTGTGACTAAAATCAACCAGTTCTGTGAGCATCCTGATCACCAGTGTTTTGAACTGTGCATCAAGTATGGCTATTTCTTCATCACTTAGATTTATCGGCTCTGGGGCTCTGAGTTGTTCTTGAGCCATTTTTGGTCTGTTCATGCCCGTTAAGTATGAGGAGCGGAGCCTTAGTTGTTTACCAGGGTGGGGCCACTCAGGTCGCTGGTTTGTGATGCTGTATGTGGGGGCGGGGTCAGAGAGGGAGCAATGGCAGTCCTCTCTGCTCGCCAGTCCGTCCCACCGCCCCGGCTTGTTTATCCAAGCGGAAATATGCAAGCCCACCACCTTGGGCTGTGCGGTCTCAATGCTCGCCTCTTCACTGGTTTATCTGCTCACAAATGCTCGACTGACCGCAGACAGACAGCCGTGCCTCTTCCCTGTGTAGCTAGCCCGCACCTGGGATCTG